TATGTATATATATATATAAATCCTGTGTCGTGTTGCCAGGTGGTTTATCACACTGAAGGGGTGCTGTTGACATATCTGTTTCTCCCCGACTGCAGAAAACCTCACAGTGAGGTGTTGGCATGTACCCTTTTCACAGCACCATGCATCCATCGACACGAAACACGCACAGCTTTGCTCCCGTCCACCACTGCGCTGCTGCATTTTCACTTCTCCGTCTGCATGTTTTTATGGTTTTCTAATATAAAATGTTTATCTTCCATCTTAATGGGAATAGATCAATGGTAAATGGATTAGCTACATCCTCTCGATTCCACCATGCAGGCGCCTGATCCTTAGAGCACTTACTGCCATAGTGGGAGATGGTACAGCCAGGTAGACAGAGCAGTAATGGATGGAAAGGCCTATTAGTCCTTGGGATTGTCAGCAATCCCCCACTACTTAGCGCCACTCTAAAACCACACCTCTCCGCCTAATGGAGACGAGGTTTCACTTGAGTTCCCAGAGCTTCTTAAAGAGCCTAACTTGATCTGAGAAGAAACATCACTCAGTCACATCCTGTAATGGGGGAAAATAAACTAAAACTTCACACATGGAGCGTGTGTCTCCAATGTTGTTTAGTTTATATAAAACAAAAAAAAAAGAAAAATCCTCCCACAGCAGTTTTAATGAACAGGTGCACCCATGTTTACCTTAAAGGATTATTCTTTAAAGTGGAGTTCTGTGGGAAAGTTATAAGAAATAATATCCTACCTGCTGTGAATGGCTCTCTTGATGACCTCAGTTTGGGACAATTGAGTTTAAATGTGACTAGTTGGAGCGGAGCCAAACCCAAAATGGATTAATGTCTTCTGAAAACAGGTTTTATCTCCAAACTTTCAGAGACGTTCACTCGAACTGCGCCTTATAGATCTTAACAGCAACGCCACTGTCACATTAACACATTAAATCCATAAAAATGATATTAATAGCATTGATTAAAGTGTGCCGATTTGCACAGGAAGTGCCGCAGCTAGCTGCTATTGTTGCATACCATTCTATATTTTTATCAAGTGTAAATAATAACGTAATGAGCATGCATCAGGATAAATAATAACATGTAATGCTGATCTGAGAGACGTAATAATATAATTGAAAAATTAATCAGATTTTTTATTATTTATATATTAATGCCAATGTAAGGCTGCTCGAAAAGCTATCTGGAGCAGGTAAGATATTAACTGTTAATCACCTTTCCACAGAAGTCCATCTCAAAAATATTTTTTTTCTAGTTGCTGCATGCTAACTTCTGCATTCTGACATGCTGACATGTTAATTTATTCCCATTTGAACCTCTGAGAGCTGATATTTAAACATGCAAACAGCTAAACATGAACACAGTTCACCTGAAGTTTGTGTCACCTGCTGATGGACGTCATCAAATTAATATGAAGACAGAAAGTCACAAGCTTGAAGTTGTTTCTTCAGTAAAAAATCAGATGAAGTTTAAAATAAAGTTTTGTAAAAAAATCAAGTGTTGTGGTTAATATGAAACAGAGGGAGAAGAAAATGGACATCCACCCATCCTTCCATCCATCCATCATCTATCTATATGACCATCCATCCATCATCCACCCATCCATCATCATCCATTAACCCAGCCAACATCTATCCTTCCATCCATCATCCATCCATCCATACATCATCTACTTATATGTCCATCCATCATCCATCCATCCATCATCCATTCATCCATCCATCATCCATCCATTCATCATCTACCTATCTATCCATCCATCCACCCATCCACCATCCATCCATCATCCTTCCATTCTTCCATCCATCCATTCATCATCTATCTATATGACCATCCATCCATCATCCACCCATCCATCATCATCCATTAACCCAGCCACCATCTATCCTTCCAGCCATCATCCATCCATTCATCATCTACCTATATGTCCATCCATCATCCATCCATCCATCCATCATCCATTCATCCATCCATCATCCATCCATTCATCATCTACCTATCCATCCATCCATCCATCCATCCATCCATCCATCAATCAATCAATCAGTCAGAGTCAGAGATTCTTTATTGTTATTCACACCACATGTGGTACATGTGGTGGAGCGAAATTATGTAC